AGGACCGATTAGACAATGACAAGTCGCTTCTCTCGATGTTCATGGTTGCCGTGTAGGTACAGAATAGTTCTGTAGGTACACAGAATAGTTCTGTACCTACACGGCAACCATGAACATCGAGAGAAGCGACTTGTCATTGTCTAATCGGTCCTAATGGCATCTAACCACATGTCATGCGCTGATTTGTACACTTGAAAAGGGCCAAAACCAATGGCCGAAACGTAGTGAGAAAATAAAGGATTTTTCCTGTAACCATGCAGTCGTGTCTGATTTGTACACTTGAAAAGGGCCAAAACCAATGGCCGAAACGTAGTGAGAAAATAAAGGATTTTTCCTGTAGCCAGTCGTGTCGGATTATTCACCTGATTGTTAATTAATCGCTGGCGAATTAACTATTCAAATTGTTTCTCATATATTAAAATTAATTAATTGATAAGGATCCACAACGTCGCAAACATTGGGAAACTGCCTTGAACCGGCCCCTCAAAGATTCAGAAGTTATTTGCGAATTGCATTTTCAAGAAAAAGATATTTTGCGCCAATACAAAATTCCCTTGCATGATGGATCGAATTTCATAATGAATAAAGAAAGAACAGATTTGGCTAAAACAGCAGTCCCTTCTTTTTATCATTCGGTATGTACATAATCTGATTCTTAGTAAATTTAAATATTTTTTATAAGTATGTGCTATTTTCATACTGTACTTTTTTGTAAAGGATTCTGCAAAAGAAAATGTTGCTGACAATTCAGTGATTAATATCGTTCCACAAAAAAAGAAAGGGAATGTTGCTGCCATTAATTCGACCACTTTGAAAAATACTGAAAATCTGCGTGTAATAGATGCATACACTAATATTGAAAATCTGCAAGTAATGGATGCATACACTAATACTGAAAATCTGCAAGTAATGGATGCCTCAGTATGTACATAATCTGATTCCTAGTAAATTTAAACATTTTTATAAGTATGTGCGATTTTTATACTGTACTTTTTTTGTAAAGGATTCGGAAAAAGAAAATGTTACTGACGATTCAGTGATCAATATCGTTCCACAAAACAAGAAAGGAAATGTTGCTGCCACAGATTCGACCACTTTGAAAAATACTGAAAATCTGCAAGTAATGGATGTATACACTAATATTGAAAATCTGCAAGTAATGGATGCATACACTAATACTGAAAATCTGCAAGTAATGAATGCATACACTAATACTGAAAATCTGCAAATAATGGATACATACACTAATACTGAAAATCTGCATGTAATGGATGCATATACTGAGTCCTCGACAGTGATGACCAATAATGCTTCACAAATCAAGAAACAAGCTGTTGCTGAAAAATGGTTGAGCATTTTGGAAAATATAAAAAATGTACACCTACCAAATAAATGGACTTGCATGACTTTTCCTAATTCAGTGGTCATTGGAATATGGAAACCGAATGGTAAACCCGCAAAACGTCTCGTTGTGAAATCTGATTTAACCATTCAGGTAAAAAAATTTTTTTCTACAATAACTTGCAATATTTTACTCTTTTCTGTCTTTCTTTCATGACATTAATCTGAAAACATGTAAAAATTCAACATTCTGGTAGATACCCAAGCTGGAGTTCCGATATTCACTGTCAGTACTAAAACTCTATAGTTTACATCATGTTCACAGTAGATTTTCAGTACTGCTGGTGAATATTGGAATCCAAGTAAGGCGTTTACTAGATATTTATAGTTTACGACTATGAGCTACTAACGTTCAGGATATTACAAACGTTTTGTTCTATCAAATTTTATATCTTTCTTTTATCTAGACATTCATCGAGAACAAAGAAATAAATTTGCCGGGAATGACTGTCCTAAATTCTGTAGAGGATATTATGAAATATATTAGCGTACTGCAATCTGTTCTATTGTGCCAAGGAAGAGATAATGGACAATGGTAAATATTTTTATAATTTATTGTGATAATTCGTTTTTGTATAAATCGCCATTGAATTGTTCTTCTTGAATTATGTGCAGGTTCTCCAAACAATGCCTGGGATTTGTTGATCCTAAAGATTCAGGGAAATTATACTTTGGAAAATTTCGGTGTGCTCATTGCCGCGTGAGAATACGTAAGAAAATTCACCAAAAGAAAAACATTCAAAAAAGGATAGAAATAGCGCTATGTGCTAAGCGACGCAACCAACTTACAGTGAAGGCGGAGAGACAAAAAAAAAGAGGCTAATATCCAAGGTAGAACTTTCAAACAAATATTTAATTCAAGTATACTTTTCATATGTAAACTTATTCATAATATAAGATTTGGCATCATATTAGATAAATTGTTTGAACGAAGTGATTAGAAAACTACGAATAAAATGTACCGCCACGCAAGAAGAGGTTCTGAAGGAACGAATTTCAACACTGCCTCCCGGGCAACAAGAAGCTATCAAGACATGCTTCAAAGCAGCAACATGCTCTAAATATGGTATGCGGTATACAAAGCAGTGGATCTACGAATGTCTGTTGATGCGGATTAAAAGCAGGAAATTGTACGACCATATACGGTCACATGATATACTTGCAGTTCCTCATGTCGATACACTTCATAAGTACTTACGGCAGACACAAAGTGCATACGGATTTAACGAGTCAATATTCAAATGCTTGAGAAAAACATCAGAACAACTAAATTCTGATGAAAGAAGAGGTATTTTTTTATTGTATATATTATATGAGTATTATACAAGTTGTGCAGCCTGTACGATCATATTTGACCGCATAATATATTTAATTATTTATCAATCCTAATTTTCTAGGATCGTTGCTTATCGACGAAATGAAATTGAGTGAAGCATTGAAATTCAACCGGTATAAATGTCAATTCGAAGGATTTGTCGATCTCGGTGATTATACGCCAGAACATCAACAGAATGAAACTGGAGATCACGCTCTCGTTATTATGTATCAGCCATTCCGTGGTCGATGGGTTCAGGCTCTTGCATGCTTTCTAAGCAAGGGGTGTGCGCCTAGCAATGTCCTGACCTGTTTGATACTGGAATGTATCACACTTCTAGAAAATAGTGGTTTTTTTGCGATGTAGTAACAACGGATGGTGCACAGTGGAATCGGTCAATGTGGACAAAATTCGGAATCACGGAGGAAAACATAAGCTGCCAGCATCCATGCGATCCGGACCGGCGATTGTGGTTTTGTTCTGATTTTCCACATCTCATAAAAAATTTCAGAAATTGTATAGTTGCTTGTAACGAGATATGGGTAAGAAGAAAAAACTTGTTAACTTATAAAAATAACATGTATCATCTCATCTCATCTCACCATTGTGTTACTTTTAGACACCCGATGGTATCGTAAAGAAGAAACATTGGCTAGCACTATTAGACCTAGAGCATATCGACCTATTCAATATGAAAATATCTTATCGCTTCTCAGCTAATCATCTTCAACCAAAGTATTACCAAAAAATGAATGTACCTATGGCATTTGAAGTAATTTTTCTTAACTACACATACGCACGCACGCATGCATGCATGTACGCACGCACGCACACGCACACACGCACATTGCAATAATTTATTTCAAATTAAGAAACTTTCATGATGACTTGGAACTATTACATTTTCTCATCTTTGACGTTTCTTTTTTAGTTATTTTCGGACAATTTGTCATGTGCAATGAAACTTTTTCAAAACAAACACCCAGATTTGATTGATTGCGATCCAACGGTAAAATTGATTGAACGTGTAAACAAACTCATTATAATTATGATGTCACGCACATCTGGAGGAGCTTTAAAACCAAACTCTGAAGACTGTGAGGTAACGTAATTGAATATTTGTTATATTGTATAAAATATGTATGGTGTATTTTAAAAGTTATATGTTGCAGCATATTAAGCATTTTATCGAGTTCTTGAATCAGTGGGAATCGACAGCAAAGAGAATGGGTCACAAATATTTGACGAACAACACTTCATTAGGAATGAATATCACTTTGAGGGCGACACTAGAAATCATGGACTTCCTGTCTTTTCAATGCAATTACCAATACCTGATGACTTCCCGATTAAATCAAGATGCACTAGAAGTAAGTTAAACGTTTAATTCAACGTCATAGAATTTCTTAAAGTTGAACACAATCAGCTAATAGTATTTGTAGCGTTTTTTCGGTTTAGCTCGAGGAGTATGTGGATCGAATGACCATCCAGATGCAGTTCTGTTCGGTCATTTATTTCGACTTATGTCTACATACTCATTGATTAAACCTTGCAAGGGTAGCAATGTTACAGGAGGAGAAATGTTGTCAGCGCTGTTGAACGTAGACATTGACAAAGAAAGATCTGGTCAGAAAGAATTTCTATGCATACTGGACAGTATTATCGAAAACGCTTCTGTTGACCATCTTGATCCTTCCAAAGTTGCGATCTCTGACACAAGGGAAGTAAAAGAAGTTGATCTAACGCAGTATACAGGGTGGGCCA